TTCCTTCCTACCTTCCTTTCTGTCTTTCTGTATTAGTTCATTCTCACACTGTTATAAAGAACTTCCCGAGAATGGGTAATTCATAAAGAAAAGAAATTTAATTGACTTAGTTCCACATGACTGGGGAGGCCTCAGGAAACTGAAAATCATGGTGTAAAGCAAACCAGAAGCAAGGACCTTCTTCACATGAAGGGCCAGCAAGGGAAATGCCAGATGCTTATAAACCATCAGGTCTCATGAGAACTCACTCACTTTCACAACAACAGCATGGAATAACCACCCGCATGATGCAATCACCTCCCACCAGGTCTCTCCTTCAGTCTGTGGGGATTGCAATTCAAGATGACAGATGAGATTTGGGTAGGGGCGCAAAGCCTAACCATAACTCTTTCTCTCATTCTTTCTTGCTTGGTTCCCTGCTTTCTTTCTTTAATTCTTTGTTTCTTTTTTGAGTGTGTGTAGAGCAGAGAGTATATGGGAAATCTCTGTATCTTTCACTCAATTTTTTTAAATGGACACAATATTTGTTCATATTTATGGGGTACGATGTGATATTTTGATACATATATAGAATGTGTTATTTTCCTTTAATTGGCCTGGACACTTGCCTCAACTTCAGTCCTTATAGTCCTCATTTGTTCTGAAATATTGAGATTCCACTGCAGAAGAACCTAATACACTTATGAAATGGTTCTGATATAATTGACTAGTTTTGGTTGGCCCTGGGGGCTCACACCTGTAACCCCAGCACTTTGGGAGTCTTTGGTGGGTGGATCACTTGAGGTCGCGAGTTTCAGACCAGCCTGGCTAACATGGTAAAACCCCACCTCTACTAAAAATACAAAAATCAGCCAGGTGTGGTGGCCCGTGCCTGTAGTCCCTACTTGGGAGGCTGAGGCAGGAGAATCACTTGAACCTGGGAGGCAGAGGTTGCAGTGAGCTGAGACTGTGCCACTGCATTCCAGCCTGGGCAACAAAGCAAGACTCTGTGTCAGTAATAATAATAGGCTAGTTTTTTTCTATTTAAATCCCTGTCTTACCTTTATAAATACACCCTGAATGGTTTACAAAGTTAAATGAAAAGAATAAAACCACCATGTGCTGCTACCTCCAAATAAGTAATAGGAATTAAGTGGAAGGTGTTACATGATCTGTCCCACAATGCACTTTTTAAGAAAATAGGTGTGGCTGGGCATGGTGGCTCACGCCTGTAATCCCAGCACTTTGGGAGACTGAGGCGGGCGGATTACCTGAGGTCAGGAGTTCAAGACCAGCCTGACCAACATGGGGGAAACCGCCACTCCCCATCTCTACTAAAAATACAAAATTAGGCTGGGCGCAGTGGCTCACGCCTGTAATTCCAGCACTTTGGGAGGCCAAGACTGGTGGATCACCTGAGTTCAAGACCAGCATGGCCAACATGGCAAAACCATGTCTCTACTAAAAATACAAAAATTAGCCAGGCATGGTGGCAGGCACCTATAACCCCAACTACGCAGGTGGATGAGGCAGGAGAATCACTTGAACCTGGGAGGTGAAGGTTGCAGTGAGCCGAGATTGTGCCACTACACTCCAGTCTGGGTGACAAAGTGAGACTATCTCAAAAAAAGGAAATTTTTTTTAAGTTAGCCTTACTTTTAAATTTGATCTATGTTTAACAATTTACAATGTTAGGACTTGAATAATTTAAAGTTCATATTGTTTAAGACTTATTTTCTTACAAATAAAAGTCAAGTGGGATTAAGACTTATTTCCTTACAAATAAAAGTCATGTAGAGAGCATAGACGTACAATTCTTATAGTCTGTCTTTGCTTTAAGGTTGCTTTTTATCTTATCATCTCTTGCATTTTGTAGAGTTCTTTCTTCTAAATTAACGGTATGTTTTATCCCATTGATTGACCATTTTAATACTACTTTATTTCTATTAGCCCATAGTGACTAATTTTTTAAGAGCACTTTACTTGAGCACAGATTATTGGACAAAGATAAAATTGTTCTAATGTGTTAAAATATTTATAACTATAAATAGTAAATGTTAAAGTAAAATCACAAGAAAAAAACATATCATAAAAGATGCTTTCATATTAAGAAACAATCTGCATAACTGTGACTTAAGCGAGAAATATGTTTAATTATCTTCTAAGTATTTTTTAAAGGTGACTGCGGACACTGATTCAGTTACTAAACTGATAACATCAAGATCCTAAGCTCTTTCCATTGGGCATTTTCAGTAGGCTAATTTTTGTCTTTTAGCTTGTTATTTCATGGTTGTACAATGGTTGCCAGAACTCCAGACATGTCTTTCCATGAGAACATTAGAAAGCAGGCAGCAAGGATGTTACCATGACAGTCAGAAACTACCCTCTCGAAACGCTTTCTTCTTATTTATTTATTTATTTATTTTTTTGATGAAGTCTTCCTCTGTCTCAAGGCTGGAGTACGGTGGCACGATCTCAGCTCACTGCAACCTCCACCTCCCGGGTTCAGGTGATTCTCCTGCCTCAGCTTCCCGAGTAGCTGGGACTATATGCACGTGCCACCATGCGCAGCTAATTTTTGTATTTTTAGTAGAGATGGGGTTTCACCTTTGCTGGGAAAAGTGGCAAAGGAGAAACGACTTGCAGATGCCTACATAAATTGGTTATGAGTAACATATAAACAAGGAGCAACCAACTGCAGAGGTCGAGGAAGGCCTTTCCATGCCTCATGTTCCAGTGCAGGGTGACCTCAGCTCTGTTGCTATAAACATTGTGCTCAAGGACGCAAAACCCCTTCGTAGCACTATGACGTAGCCAGACTTGTAGGCTCCCTGTGAGGCCCGAGTTCCATCAGCTGCACATAGATAATAGGCTAAAGATAACCACGTGTTCTTGTTTTGTGAAACTCCCAAATCGCCACTGTTATCAATCCTTAGGATGACACACCAGTCCTGGCTCATTGATTCACTCCACCATCACTCCTACCCTATAGATCAAAGTGGTCTTAATCAATAGTGTGGATGATCAGAGCTCGGGGCGTTCACTGCCTCCAATAATAAAGTAATGGACCCCTGGTCCCAAAGTCTCTCTTAATCTGTCTTTTTCTCATTCCTTTGTCACCACTGAACTCGAGGTACCCACAGGTGATATAGAGCTGGTCCCCTACACAACTTGTTGGCCAGGATGGTCTCGATCTCTTGACCTTGTGATCCACCCACCTCAGCCTCCCAAAGTGCTGGGATTACTGGCATGAGCCACTGTGCCCAGCCAAAACTCTTTCTTCTTTAATGAAGGAATTAAATATTTCTACCTATTTTGCCAAAACTGGATTACATACCAACTCCTGTAGCAATCACTGGTAAAGAGCAGCAAAGGGGCCTGATCATTAGAAGGAAAAATAACAAACAGAAAAGAATAATATCAACATCAACAAAAAGGGCATACACTCAGAGAACCCCTCTGACAGTCACTGACTTCAAAGACCAAAAGTAGATAAATCCACAAAGATGGGGAGAAATCAATGCAAAAAGGCTGAAAATTCCAAAAACCAGAATGCCTCTTCTCCTCGAAAGGATTACAGCTCTTCACCAGCAAGGGAACAAAAGTGGACAGAGAATGAGTTTGACAAATTGGCAGAAGTAGGCTTCAGAAGATGGGTAATAACAAACTCCTCTGAGCTAAAGGGGAGAATGTGCTAACCCAATGCCAGGAAGCTAAAACCTTGTTTTTCAAGGTGAAAAATGCAGATCCCTACATAAATTGGTTATGTAGGTTATACAAATTGCTAACTAGAATAACCAGTTTAGAGAAGAACATAAATGACCTGATGGAGCTGAAAAACACAGCACAAGAACTTTGTGAAGCGTACACATGTATCAATAGCTGAATCGATCAAGCAAAATAAAGGATATCAGAGATTGAAGATCAACTGAATGAAATAAAGTGAGAAGACAAGATTAGAGAAAAAAGAGTGAAAAGAAACAAAGCCTTCAAGAAATATGTGACTATGTGAAAAGACCAAACCTATGTTTGATTGGTGTACCTGAAAGTGACATGGGTAACGGAACCAAGTTGGAAAACACTCTTCAGGATATTATCAGGGAGAACTTCCCCAACCTAGCAAGGCAGGCCAACATTCAAATTCAGGAAATACAGAGAACACCACAAAGATACTCCTCAAGAGGAGCAACCTCAAGACACAATCATCAGATTCACAAAGGTTGAAATGAAGGAAAACATGTTAAGGGCAGCCAGAGAGAAAGGTTGTGTTACCCACAAAGTGAAGCCCATCAGACTAAGAGCAGATCTCTTGGCAGAAACCCTACAAGTCAGAAGAGTGGGGACCAATATTCAACATTATGAAAAAAAGAATTTTCAAACTAGAATTTCATATCCAGCCAAACTAAGCTTCATAAGTGAAGGAGAAATAAAATCCTTTACAGACAAGCAAACACTGAGAGATTTTGTCACCACCAGGCCTGCCTTACAAGAGCTCCTGAAGGAAGCACTAAACATGGAAAGGAAAAACCATTACCAGTCACTGCAAAAACATACCAAATTTTAAAGACCATTGTTGCTATGAAGCAACTCCATCAACTAATGGGCAAAATAACCAGCTAGCATCATAATGACAGGTTCAAACGCACACATAACAATATTAACCTTAAATGTAAATGGGCTAAATGTCCCAATTAAAAGACACAGACTGGCAAATTGGATAGAGTCAAGACCCATCAATGTACTATATTCAGGAGACCCATCTCATGTGCAAAGACACACATAGGATCAAAACAAAGGGATCAAGAAATATTTACCAAGCAATCTTTTATCAGAGACTAGGATTGCAAGCAGGAATTACAATCCTAGTCTCTGATAAAACAGTCTTTAAACCAACAAAG